TGGACACAACACATTTATCAATGCACCTGAAAAATAGTCACCAAATAAAGTCTTACCCTCTTTCTTCTAGCTCGACTCCGAGCAGATTGCTTGGCAGCCTCCGCACGCAACGAGTTGGCTGGCTGCGTATATCTGAAGCTCCTGCGTACCGTCTCAAAATACATCTTACAGGCAGCTGGAAAACAATTAAATGAGAGTGGTATGAATAAAAAAATCAAACGCAAGTCACAGTAACAAGGAAGGAGAAAACATTAAAACAAGTCAATTACACACAATGTCGTCTTTATCAACATCGTGCAAATCTGGACTTGCTGATATGGCTCCGAGCAAATAGTAGGTCTGTGAAAACAAAATGTACAGCTATGATCGGTATCTATCCGTATCCATTTCCTTTTACCGCAGAATGAAAGCATATTCTTTAAATCTTACCCTTGCTCCGGTTCATAGCACCTGCAATTAGCCTCCGAGTTGTGAAGACGGCGTACTGCTTCCTATGAATCACAAAAAATACACTTTAATAAAGCTTGTTCTTGCAAGGCTACTTTTAGCCGTAGCTTTAGGCTAGGCTGCTATTAGCCGTAGCTTTAGTCTAGGCTGCTATTAGCCGTAGCTTTAGGCTAGGCTGCTTTTAGCTTAGCAGGCAGTAATCAAACATATATTTACCGCTAGCTTCTCTTCTTTGAGTTTGTCTCTCCCGCACAGTTATTTGACTGCAGAGTCGCCATCGCGTCCAAGTTGAAGGCGAGTTGAACGGGGGACGTCGCCCAGCCAAGGATCACGTACCAGCAAAATACTTCTTCTTCTTTTCATTAATGGCGGATTGGAAGTAACTTATAGGTGCATACCGCCACCTACTGTACACGAGTGTGTAGCAACATTTTCTCTACATTTATTAAATTCTATTTATTAATCTTGTGTTTTTAAGAAAAGTAAATAAAGCTTTCCTTACTCTATAAATATCCATTATGTTTCCTTCATTTCCTAATATTCCTTTAAGACTCCATTCTTTTCCTGACCTTCCAACAATTCTTTTCAGATTCTCTCTTTCAGATTCATATGTTCTACAGTTCATTAATACATTTTCTACATTTTCTTTCTCTTCACATCCTTCACATTTATTATTACTTTTCTTCCCTATTAAATGTAACGTGTCATTTAAATAGGTGTGTCCTACTCTTAATCTAGTCATATTTATTTCTTCCCTTCTGTTTCTCTCATCAATATTTCTAATTAGTACTGACTTTTGTACTTTATATAATTTTCTCCCTTTCTTATCTTCATTCCACCTTTTTTGCCATTCTTTTATTTCTTTTATTTTAATACATGATTTCCCTTCCCCTTTCCCGAAAGGAATTATCATCGTCATTGTCATTTCTAAAGCCCTTTTTGCTAATTTATCAGCTTTTTCATTTCCTTTAACCCCTTCGTGAGCTGGAACCCAGCAGAACCAGACATTAATGCCACCTCTATATAATCTAAATAAACTATGCATAATTTCTAATACTATATGTATGCAAAGATACACAGCAGTTGGTGACATTATAACTTAAAAAAAAAGAGACATATAATGTAAAAAATAAATAAAAATAAAACAAGGGAAACAAACATATAAATAAATAAACAAATAAATAAAATAAACATAAAATAATAATAGCTAGGGGTTCATTTTGAATCTACCTCGTGAAGACCGTTTTAAGGAAGAAAATATGATTCTCGTTGGACTCATAACTGGACCAAAAGAGCCATCACTACATATCAACGCTTTCTTAGACCCCTTAGTTGATGAGCTTCAACAACTTTAGTTACTATGAGTTACTATGATGCCATCAGTTAATACATCCTCTGTGCATTTAAGTAAGACCAAAGAAAAAGTCACGGTAGTCATGCCACTATGCACAGTAGTTGAGCTCTAGGAGACTGTGATCTCTGCAGACCCCTCATTCTGATTCTAATGTTGTTTGCATGGAATGCACATTTTACCAACTGATTCTGATTAAAACAAATTTTTGAAATACATTATTTTGTGTATTTTTTTACATAACATTTGCATACACAGTAATCTAGCGTACTTTAATTAAATAAATCAATTCAAGCTAAAATGTAAGAGTCTATAATTAGGCCATACTGAGCCTGATCTATTTGTACCATCTATTTGGGGGATATTTATTGCCACACTTTGGGCCACTTAATACCAATTTAGCATCAAATAAATGAGGCAGCCTACCTCAGCATTGTTGCTGACCTTATGTCCTTATGACCACAGTGTACCAATCTTCTGATGGCTACTTCCAACAGGATAATGCGCCATGTTATAAAGTGAATCATCTCAGACTAATTTCTTGAAACTTTTCCACTTAAGTAATTGTGAATTGAGCATATTGACAGACAACATTTTATTTTTTATCTTAAATGCAATTTTTTTTAAAAATAATTACTGCTCTAAATGTATTGCTCTGTCAGCTAATGATCTGTTTTGGTCTCTAGACTTTAATGAAATAAATCAATTCTAGCTAAAATGTAAGAGGCTATACTGAGCCTGATCTCTTTGTATCAGAGATTTTCTTACCTTTTAGAAAAATATCACTTGGGGTAAAACTCCCCCTGCAACCCTAATTTGCATTTGTATAGCTCACAGCATTTTTTATTTACATGTTAAAGCCTCCCCTAGAATTCCATGGGGGGGAGGCATGGGGGAACACTGCCTAAGACACTCCACGTCAATTTCTGACAATTTACGGGAGTTTTCAGTGAAGCCTTCAAATTGTCGTAAACTGCCGCTAACCTGAAGTTCCATGACAATCTACAGTGCCGCATATTGACGAAAATCCCACTTTTCATGCGGTGTAAATAGTTATATCTAGACCCAGGTAGCATCAAACCGTGTGCTTGTGATTGTGTGGACCACAGGGAAGGGACAGAGAATTAAGAAAGTGCAATGAGTAAGAAAAGGTGAAAGAAAAAGAACCGGGGCCCATGCTTCCTGTACCCAGCTGTGACTAACAGCCATACGGTGCCCACATGCTCATTTCATTTATCACCATGATCCGTTCTATTCAGTTTTCAGAATTCTGACTTTCTTTTCATATTATACTGAAATAAAATGTAAAAATCAGTTAACTTTTTTTATTTTTTCATTGGCCCTAATCCTCTTCCCCGGAGGCTGGTTAGTGACTCCAAGTTCCTAAAAAATAGGCTTGAAGGTAGACCCTTGAGTTACTGGGCTTCATTACTGTGGAACCAGCTTTTTCCAATGCTCAGAGAGGCAGTCTCTCCATCTCATTTAAATTATCGCTGAAAACATTTTATGACAGACCTTTTAGTTATGATTGATTCAGTTAGCTCTGAACCATCTTATAGCAGGTACCCCCTCAGTTGCTCCACCTGATGTATCTATCAGTTTTGCTGTTAAATTGTAAGAATAATGATAGACATACTACATATGTACATGCATAGATATACATAAAAAAAAAAAAAATACTGTGGCAAGGTACACAACAGAGGGCCCAGGTTGGATTCAAACCCAAGACTTCAAGGTGAAAGTCATGCATTCTGACCAGTCAGCCAAAGGGATATCACTTGGCCAAGTAGCCAAGGCACAATATCGGTCGAAGGCATGGTGACAGGAAACCACACTGGCAAATCGAGTTACTCACTTATAATATGCTATTTACTAAGAACGATGTCCCCCACCCCAATATGCTATTTACCGATTTGCACTAAACAGAACTATGACAGAACCTCATAAAATCCCTGGAGGAAAAGCACCCTCTTCATTCAGTTTTCCTAGAGCAGGGATGTCAAACTGGTCCTATAAAGTTCCATGTGGCTGCCGGTTTTCTTTCCCACCAAGTAGTAGCACACCAGAGTCCCTTCATCTTGTCAAGTCAACATGTTAAGACTGGGCTCATTTGATGAGATAACTTTTTCTATAGGATGCTGCTAGAGAAAAGCTAAAGAGCAAAAAGATTTTTTTTTTTAAATCAAATGTTATTTCATTTTCAGAGTTGAAAAAAATGTGCAAAACAGCAACTCCCATTATATGGAGTGAAACGCACAAAAAAATAAACTAAAGAAACAATAAACTTACAAAAAGATCTGTGTGAAATTGTTTTACTGTTGCAAATGTGGTTAATCATGTCTTCCATATATGTCAATCCTTTCACCCATTTTTTTGCAAATATATTTTCTTTTATTTTCAAATTATACATTAGATGTTCCATCACCTTTATATCCTCTATAATTGACATCATTGCTTGTGAGTGGGAGTATCAGACTTAAGCCAGGTCTTAGTAATAGTCTTCTTCCCAACCACAAGAAGAATCCTGATTAAATATTGTTCACTTACATGCACAGCACCCTCTAAATGACCAAGGTACAGCACAAGGCAAGATTTAGGAATCACATGACCCAAAACATCACAAAGAACTGTGTGAACATTTCCCCAAAAGAGTTGCATTTTGTTCAACTCCAAAAGATGTGTAGCAAACAGAAAAAAGAAATACTTTCCTTACATCAGCCTTTCTAAATTAATTATGTATTAAAAGTATTATAAAAAGGTTTTGAAAGGGTTCCTAGAATAAGGTTACAATACAGGTCCTAAGTAAGATAAGTCCTCACTTGAATTTAATTGAATTGAACAATCATTAATTGACAAGGCAAATGTTTGTGCTTAATATCTGCTTCACAATGATAATGTTTTTATCCAACATGTGACCTTGGGTGTACACAAGATGGGAAAACCATATCTTAAATAAAGGAATAAATTATGCCCTACTTTAGAAAAACTAACAGACCAATACTGCGGAAATAAGCAGGAGTTCCTAAATATTCCTGTTTCACCCAATCATAGTCATTAAGATTATATTTATATAACATTAAACCAAATATTCCAGATTGAAAAGTTTAAGGATACCAAACATAAAGTATTGATTTCTTTTTACTGTTCAAACATGTAATGAGTAACAGGCTGATCTTAGTCCACTCCCCCACTTTGAACTTTTTCAACTTCTCTGAAATAAATTAAATGCATCTGCTATTTTATTACATTTCCAGTCTGTTCTTTCATTAGTCTGAAACATGGGGACTTCTCGCACATGGAGCTGTCTAGTTGCACTTCTGTATCTCCTCAGTTTGGGTAAGACATTTCTGATTAACACAGACTGCAGATTTTAAATGTAGAACATTTTCAGATATCTCACTAGCACAGTTAAGGGATATCTGTTCAACCATCCCCAAGCCTAAAAGTTAATCTTCTTTAATTAAATAAATTACAAAAAAAAAGCTGCAGAGATGATGAAAGGATTTCAATGCATGTTAGAAACCTTGACAGATTTTTTTAAAAATACTAATGTTGTGATTCTATAGTTAAATTCTATTCCCAGCCCGCTGGGAATTTATGTTTCTGATACTTTAAGATGTTTATTGCCCTCCCCTGTAGGGGTGGTAAAATATCTTATTTAATCAGATATTATTTCAGCTGTTATATAGTGTTTATGACACACAGTCCTACTAACTGTGTGTTAGAACAATAAATGAAAGAGTGATTCGAGCACTAATCATGGTCAAACAGTTATTTCTGCACATACATGGAATAAATTCACCACAACTTCTGTTCAAAATATAATATTTTATTAACAAAATTCATTCAGCTCCAAGTCAAACGTATTTCAGTTTAACACTCTCAACTAAGACTACCGTATTTTCACGACCATAAGGCGCACCGTACTAAAAGGCGCAGTCTCAGTTATGTGTCCCATTTCTGTATTTAACACACACATAAGGCGCACCGGACTATAGGGCGCGTTTTTTATATACAGGTACATGTCCTCTACTACCTTTAAATACCTCTACTGCGTATTTAAAAATACAGCGGGGGGCAAAACTGAGTATGACTGTGCTTTATTCATGTATTTATTACAAAGTATTAATCAAACCTGGGAGCTGGCCGTGAGAGATGACAGGGCGCTGTTGTCACTCCTAAATTAACTTAAAATCCTGAAACCTGCCGACGGAATATGTTCGCTTTTATTACCGGTATCCTGGTGCCTGCAGTTTAAATTATTTAGATGAAAAACACCTGCCAGCCACCGCAATGAACCCGGAGGCTACCCGGCCTAGAGGCTGCTGATGAAGGGATTTCTACTGTCGGTGCACCGCTGGTATGTGGGGGTCTGAGCGCCTCCGACAGAAATAGATAATCTGGATGAACTGACTGCAATTATTAAGTTTTCAGGTGGACTTTCTCACTTAAAAACATATTAAAACTACTTTATTCCCACTGATCACAGCAAATATAGCTGAAAGATTTAGATTATTTAGATGAAAAAACACCTGCCAGTCGCCGAGGTGAAACCGGAGGAGACCCGGCCCAGAGGCTGCTGTTGAATTAAGTTTTCAGGTAGAAAAATAGAGCGGGAGCAAAACTGAGTATGTTTGTGCTTTATTCATGTATTTATTACAAAGTATTAATCAAACCCATCAAAGTCATCATCCTCTGTTTCTGAATTAAACAGCTGCGTTAAAGCAGACATGCCAATTTCCCCTTCTTCGCTGTCAGAGTCACTTTCTGTGCCGGGCGGCTCCTCAGAAATAATGCCGGCTTTTGCAAAAGCTTGAACAACAGAGCCAGCAGACACGTTAGTCCAAGCATCTACAATCCATCCGCAAACGGTGGCGTAACTTGCCCGGCGCTGCCTTCCACTTATCCTGAAACTGTGGTCTCCGTCTGTCATCCATCGCTCCCACGCCGCTCGCAGCCTTACTTTGAACGGCCGCTTCACACCGATGTCGAGCGGTGGAAGTTCCTTTGTCAGACCCCCGGGATAACGGCGAGCACAGCGTTTATTTTTTTTCACCATGTTTTTCACATCAGCTGTGAGATGGGCACGCATGGAGTCACATATTAAAAGCGATGGTGATGCGTGGAAAAAAAACATCTGGTCTCCTCACATACACCTGCCTCAGCCACGCTTTCATCATCTCCTCATCCATCCAGCCCTTTCATTTGCTTTAATATGTCATCAGAGCGATGTGTCTGTCTCGCTGTCAGCTCCCAGATCAGCTTCTCTGATTCGTTGATGCGGCGCTTCCAGCAGCAAAACTTCAATTTTTCCATCTCGAGCAGCAGCCGCGGGTTGGTGGCGCACTCCCGCGGCGCTGCGCCTGCTGCTCAAAACGCGCTGCGGGACCTTTTGCTGCGTCTATACGCTCGTCAACCGTTGACTTTGCATGTAGACTCGCTGCTTCTGCTGCACCTGCTGCGTCCGGTTCACAGCGAGGACAGCATTAATTTGTTTCACCATGTTTTTCACATCAGCTGTGAGATGGGCACGCATGGAGTCAGATTAACAGCGATGGTGTGGTGATGAGTGGAAAAAAACCCACCTGGTCTCCTTACATTCACCTCGCTCAGCCACTCTTTCATCATCTCCTCAATGAGGTGGTCTCAAAAGTCGCAGTTGCAACACACATAGGGCGCACCGCACCAAAGGGCGCACCGCACGTTTTGAGGGGAAAAAAAGACGTTTATGTGCGCCTTATAGTCGTGAAAATACGGTAGTAAAACTCAACTGAACTAAACTAACTACTATGTACAAAGAGGAAGGGGAAAACGGTCGAAAAACATATTACAGTTTCAGATGGATTCTGTGTTTGAAACCAAAGTTTATCTGGAAGAATATGGGATATGATCAAATTAGCTTTTCACTAATTTTAAAGAAATTGGAATGTTTTCAGACCAATTCACAATGCAAATCCATGAGGTGAGAAAAACATTATTTGGCCAAATAATGTTCTATTGAGTGATTTGCTTAATCAAGAACCAAAAACCTTTAGTTAAATGATTCTTTACCCTCTTTGAAATAGCTAGCAGCGAATAGACATCAGGATTCGACTAAATGACTCTTGGTCATACTTGGCAATGGAAATGTAATGAGCATTTGAGGAACACATGAACACTAATGTTATATCAGTGTTTAAATCCTTAGTGAATAAAGCTTTAGCAACAGTTCAACACATATTCCAGTATTATAGCGTAGCATGCAGTGCATTCTTTAGCATCAATTAGCGTTGTCTTTACTCGGCAGTAAACACGTGATATGATTAGCATCATCAAAAGACACATTGCTTGTTCTGTCCCTAATCATGCCAGACCTGCAAACCTTTTTCCATGTCCATTTGGAAAGCTTGAGTTTCATCCAGTTTTGCAGCTCTGCAGTCAGGGGTTCTGGTTCCCAGTGTCCAAAAAGTATGATCATGGCATATTGGCATAACACTAACCTTTTTATACATGCAAAGTTACTTAGGACACTATATTTTTTAAATTATTGTATTTTCTATGGGTAAATATTACTGTTGAAAAACTTAAACCAAGATGCATTCATCAATTTTTTTCTTAAGACTACAGGTACTTGATACAGTAAATCAATATGACTGCAGCAGTTTTAGCTATTTTGAATTTAACAATACTAACTCATGATAGTAATAATTACTATCATGATAATAGTATATCTAACTAAGTAAATTTAAAATAAGAATATTTCAAATTGTTTCAATGTTTTTTAACCTACACATCTTTCAAGTTTTTTTATTAATGTAAAGGCTGTGGTAGTGTTAATTTCGTTAACGAAAACTAAACGAAAATATTTTCGTCAACGCACATTTTTCACCGAACGAAAACTAGACGAGACGAAAATCCCCACTAATAAACAATAACTGGGAGTAAATCAGAAATAATTTTCGTGGACTATTAAAGACGAGACGAAAATGCAGTTCGGTAAATAAAGACTGGACTAAAATCTATGGACATTTTAGTTCACGAATAAAGACGAGACGAAAATGATATATTATTATTTTATGTTTTTTCAAATCCTGTCTCGTCTCCTCCTCCGCCTCCTCCTCGTCAGCTCCCACACACCCACTTTCAAACCTGGAGCGGGCGGCACAGGGTAGCCTACTCCGGGACTCAGGAGAAAGAGGAGACGTGCTATATGGACACATTTTCGCTTTTAAGTGGAGAACAAACCCAAATGCTTGATTTTAGTGGAAGGGAAGGGATATGGCCACATGATAGCTGGAAAAAACACAACAAACCTGAAGAGACACGTCGCAGTTCACCACAAAGACATTACGGTAAGTTAACAGAAAGATTGGTGGTGGTTGTTTATCATGTAACATTAAATCAACGGCTATAATGTCCCAATGATAAACTAACTGATGTTGGCTAACTTTCATAGCATTTAGTATCCAGGTTGGCTACGTTACGTTAGCTTGTTAGCACGTAGCGACTGTAGCCACTTGTTGATAGAATTGTATGTAAAGTTAAATTTATGCTAACTTAGATATGTTATACTGGCCGGGCAACTATAGTTTCAGTTAAATTGCAAGTTTGATTAAAGCAGACAGACGTTTTAGGTTATCTAGGAGCTGCAAGTGAACTATAGTTAACGCAGAACAACTCGGCAGCTACACATGTATGCTAAATGCTAAAACCAGCTGAAACTATTTATCAGGATAAGACAAAATAATAATAATATGCCACACATAATTCAGAGCAACTTTAACCTAGATTTTCATACACAAAATAGTCATTGCTAGGGGAACCACTGCAGGGATGTCTTTAGTTGGTGACATAAAATGCTGCTCTGTTTATCTGCATATTACTATTACAAGGACATTTGATTTGAATTGGTATCAACATTAATACAACCAAAATGCTTGCACACCTAAAAATGTCTGCAATTTATTCCTGCATAAAATGATAGTTAGGTTGTTTGTATGATTTTGAAATGGATGGTCAAATGTAGTTTTTATAGAGACTTAGTTTTTGTTAAGGAAAAAAGAGACATATATGCTCCTTATACACTTGGAATTCCTGTTATGCTGTGCATCTATCCTGACATTGTATTAATTTCCGTTCCAGATTAAAGGTACATCATCACCACCAACAACCTACCAGCCACCCAGAAACAATGACAGGCCAGCTAAAGCTGGAAGGAAAGCACTTTTGTTCTATCAGTTGGATTTTTTTTTTTTTTAACAACATTGACCTCAAATCTATTTATTTTATTATTCTATGTGAACTAGCTTTAAACAGCCAGCACTTGTGTAAAGTTCATAAGACACTTTATTTTATTTATTTGTTTCCTTTTCCAGGTGTGTTTTATTTGTTTTAATGCAAGCATTTGTGTTTGTGTCTTTGAACCTTAACAATGTTCAAAATAAATATGCAAATATTGTCAGAACATCTTCCATGTCTGCATGTGTTCCTTAAAATTGTGTTTTTTTATCGAAAAGATGATGAGAGAAAATGTTGAAATAATTTTAGGAAATCTTAAACGTTATCTGCTGACAAAAAAGTAAAAGGTTAAAATTATGTCCTGACTAAAACTAGACTAAAATGTTGACAGTTTTTGTTGACTAAAACTAAACTAATAAAATTATGTTTTCTTGGACTAAAATAAAGACTAAAATGCTCTGACTTAAGTCGACTAAAACTAGACTAAATAAAAATGCGATGATGTCGACTAAATGTGATAAAAACTAACAAACGATGCTGAAACTGGACTAAGACTAAAACTAAATTTAAAAATGGCTGCTAAAATTAACACTAGGCTGTGGACAATGTTTCACTTAAAGTTTAACCATACAGAACTAAAAAATCCATTAACACCAAAAGATGATTAGGATACCAAATTATTGGGATTCTAACTGGAACTTTTTACTGTGTGACTCCCTCTAAGTTGAGATACTATAACATCAAAACTCATATCTTAATAATGGTAAAACCTTCTTTGACTGATTAATAATATTCCTTTAGTGTAATCATCAAAATAATAAGAATTGATGTAGAATTTAGCCAAAAAAAACACAGTGTGAGTACCACACTGTTAATTTGAATACCCTAAAGGATTCAGATGCTGTATTCAGTTTAATCCAAAAATTAAATGACTCAACAGAGATAGAATTAACTCAAGGTGGGCAAACTGGGCATAAACTGTACAAGGTTTTGCCCCTTTCGGCAAGACGTCCCAGATTAGAAATGTCCCCAACAATGCCGTAACTATCGGTAAGCTGAGTATGCAGTTGCTTAGGGACCCCAAGCTCTTAGGGGCCCCGTCACGGACACCTGTTTAGCCCCCTACGCAATTGAGGACTGGGACGTCTCTTTGCAGATGTGATGGTGCTAAAAATTGCTCTTAAACCCAGACGATATTATACCGCAACACGTGCCAGATTTCAACAGGTTGGTGAGCCGTTTAAGCAGGACACCGATAGCAAAGCTGACAGTGGTACTTTTAATTACTATGTTAATAACTGTGTATAGTTCATTAGACGGTTGGTAAAAAATACACTCCTATTATATGTTTCAAACTGAAATAAAGATCTTAAAAGAACGATGTATTTTATTTTTTACAGTAATACTTTGAATTATGGGTAATCCAAAGCGTAGATCAAAACCATAACCATTACTTACAATTTGTTAGTGACAATGGATACCAAAATGAGGTACTTAAGCAGGGGGGGGGGGGGTGGCGGGTTGTACTTCATATGGGGCCCACCCAGATAACGTTGCTTACGGGCCTATTGTTGTGTCGTTACGCCTTTGGTACGCCTTTTACCGTTTTAATGAATGAGGAGGGAAATATTGTCTGTTGATATTGTAGTCGAAAAGAGCAGGTGAGCATGTTGTGCACAGAAAAGGCTGCTAGCTAGCTGGTTGGCAGCTGTTAACATATAGATGAGAAGCAGAGCCCACCACTTTTAGAACAGACAAGGAAGAACTGGAAGTTTGTTGTCACAAACGGTTGCAGCTGATGGGGAGCTGCCCTGTGTTATGGTAAGTGTGGTAATCTGTTTATTTGATTTGAATTGGGCATATCATTACGATAAATGTTTGGTTCATGAAAGGTAAAAAAAAAAAATAGGACTTTTGACCATTGGCTGCAGCTGGGATGAGTAAATAGACTAGGATTATATTAACCAGAATGATTTAAAAAAAAAATCCTTGTAAAATGTTAATCTGGTAGGGTGGTTCTCCAGGAATCAACCAGGCTTGACCTAAAGATGATTTTAGAACTGACTGGTGAATATTCTTTGTTTAGTTCTGTTGTTTATTTTTTACAACAAACATGTACCAAAAAAGCAACCTAATGTTATGTCTCTTTCTTTAGGTGTTGAGATTCTTTGTGATTGTACTCTGAAAGGTGTGGAAATAGAGGGAGGTGAATATAGGCTGTCCAAGAATTTGGAGCCAGGCAGCCAACTCATCTACTACTGTCAGGATGGCTACTATCCCGACCCTGCTTTGACTCGCATCTGCCTGCCTAATGGGTCCTGGAGACCCTCACCCAGAAAGTTCCAACTGCAGAAATGCAAACGTAAGCCACACAGCTTTTGATGGTTCAGAATTTACCTAAGACTTCCTCATCTAGATAACAGCTGACTTTCTTTCCTGAAGGTGTTGAATGCCCTGACCCAAATGTGTTAGAAAATGGAAACGTCTTCCCTGGTCAGGAAAAGTACTATGTGGGCGATGTAACATCATATAATTGCTACTCTGGATACACAATGAGAGGCTCGCCCAGTCGGGTTTGCTTACCAAATGGGAAATGGAATGGCTCCACTCCAATCTGCAGCCGCGATTGTGAGTCCTGAGCAACTTTACTTTTTTATTTGACTGTGTTTTAATATGTAATGAAGTTTTTTTTTTTTTTACGGGACAAACAGACACATTGAAATCTACAAAAAGTATTTTAAACAGGGCAAGATTTGATGATGTGATAAAGTGTCAAAACCTAAGTACATAAGTTTTGTGAGTACATTACATCATTTGATTACAGTACATGATATATGTAATACGCATTTGATCACATTTTATTCATAATAATATCAAACATATGGTGTGTGTTATTTTGGTTAATCTCTTTATTGCAAATTTTGAGTAAAAAAATCCACTTCATTGCCTACTTTGGGAAATAATAGAGGTCATAGTATTTTATTTTATGTTCTTTTCATAGCCGGAGATGCCTGTCCTGATCCTGGAGTACCGCCTGGAGCCTCAAGAGTGGGAAACATGTTTGGGATTGACGATAGAGTGAAATACAGCTGTAATGGCAACCTGGTTTTGATTGGCTCTAAGGCGAGAGTGTGTCAGGAGAACGGCCAGTGGACAGGAATAGAGCCAGCATGTTACTGTAAGATTTGATGATACCTTGATAGTATATAAAGACTGAACAAGTGATATGTGAATTTGGTGCCTTTAGAATTCAGACATCTAATATTTCTTAAATAAGGGATGTACTAATACAAACCCGCAGCATATATTAATAATACATGAAACATTTAAGCAATGAATATATGACAATACTTTCAGTGAGACTCCATACACTAAACTACTATATGTAGTTTGTCCTCCATTCAACTAGCATTTAATTAAAAAGTAGAAGAAAATCCAATCAATAGGGTTTATGAATTTTACAAATTGAAATGTTGTGAAATGTCTGTTAAATAGCTAATATGTTTAAGAATCTATTTTTCAGAATGTTTAAAGAGATCATATTTATTAGCTTTGTTAAGCCTCAAATAAGGAAGAAGCAGCTGATTAGTCAGTAACTTCATTTGGAAGGTATTAAATTGATCTCAGGAAATGAATTAAAAAATATTGGTGTTATTTTTTATTAGGACCTGTCATTTAAATCTCATGTCAAACAGGTTTCTAGAATTTCCTTTTTTTATTTTTGGAATATTGCAAAAATTTTGAATATCATGTCCAGGGGTGTTGTTAGGAAACTAGTTCATGCATTTGTTACTTTAAAGGCTGGAATATTGTAGAATGGGAGGCAAATCTTTTAGCTATCAGGCTCATCTCCTATGAAACCAACTACCAGGACTTGTCAGTGAGGCAGACATCCTGTCTACTTTAAGGCTAATCTTTTGTATCTCTGCGTCTATCTGTATGTCTCCTTCTGTCTCATCAGCCTGGTTGTGCTGGAGGTTTCTTCCTGTTATAAGGGAGTGTTCCTCTCCACTGTCATTACATGCATGCTCGGTGTGAGGATTCCTGTCGAGGCAATGAGTTAATGTATTCAGCTCGTTTTCCTTAGATAGAAAACGTCAAACCAATCTGACTTTATGATCTGGTCTCTGTAAAAACTATTGAGAGGACATGTTGTAAATTTGCACTATATAAATAAACTTAACTTCATTGAAAAGCTTTGGATGACTTGAACTATCGACAGCTTTTCCCTAAACTTGTCAAGATTGTTGGCACCAGTGCTGTTTTAATTCATCATCCAACACACCTGTCAGCTCTCCCCCTTTTCTTCAGTTCCACCTGCTCACATCTCTATATAACAAGCTTTCAGACTTGTCACTACACTGTTTGCAGAATTATTAGGCAAGTTGTTTTTCTGAGGATCATTTTTATTATTGGGCCACAATTGTTTTTTCAATCATCCCAAAATACTCCTTTGTATCAAAGTTTCATATTTTTTGAAGTTGATGTGTTTTGTTTTTTTTGATTTGGCCATTTTATGAGGTTGTCTGTGTGTTCAGGTAAATATTACTGTGCAGAATTGTTAGGCAACATAATAAAAAAGAAATATATACCCATCTCACTTGTTTATTTTCACCAGGTAAACCAATATAACAACTCAAAATTCAGAAATAAACATTTGCGACATTCAAAAACAAAAAAATCAGTGACCAATATAACCACCTTTCTTCACCATGACGCTCAAAAGCCTTCCATCCATAGATTCTGTCAGTGTCTTGATCTGTTTGCGATCCACATTGCAGCCACCACACCCTCCCAGTCACTGTTCAGAGAGGTGTACTGTTTTCACTCCCTGTAGATCTCACATTTCATTAAGGACCACAGGTTCTCGATGGGATTCAGATCAGGTGAACAAGGGGGTCATGTGATTATTTTTTCTCCTTTTAGACTTTTTCTGGCCAGTCACGCTGTGGTGTATTTTGATGCGTGTGACGGAGCATTGTCCTGTGTGAATATCATGTTTTTCTTGAATGATGGCGACTTCTTCTTATACCACTTATACCAAGAAGGTGTCTTCCATAAACTGGTGGTAGGTCTGGGAGTTGATCTTGACTCCATCATCAACCCGAAAAGGTCCCACAAGCTCATCTTTGATGATATCAGCCCATACCAGTACCCCACCTCCACCTTGCTGGCATCTGAGTCGATAAGTAACTTGCTGCCCTTTGTTGATCCAGCCTCGTGCCCATCCATCTGACCCATCAAGACTCACTCTCATTTAATCAGAACAAAACACCTTGGAGAAATCAGTCTTCAGATATTTCTTGGCCCAATCTTGACGTTTTGTCTTGTGTGTCTTGTTCAAAGGTGGTCTTTTTTCGGCTTTCCTTGCCTTGGCCAGGTCCCTGAGTATTGAGCACCTTGTGCCTTGTGCACTCCAGACATGTTACAGCTCTGAAATATGGCACAACTGGTGGCTAATGGCTTCCTGGCTTATGATCCTTCTCAATTCATGGGGAGTTATTTTACATCTTCTTTTTTCAACACACTTCTTGCGCCTCTGTTGGCTATTTGCCATGAACCGCTTGATTGTGCAATGATCCTACTTCAAAAGCTTGGTAATTTTCAAACTGCTGCACCCCTCTGACTTTTCAGAGTCTGTCAAATCTCTTTTCTGACACATTTTACCAAAGAAAACGAAGTTGCCTAATAATTAACCTGTCAGACACATGAGGACCCAAATTTGGGTCCTCAGCACTCGCCCCTACAAGATCAAGTGTCCAAGAGGTTAAGCACACCTTATATAGGGTGTTGATGTCATTAGGCCACACCCCTTTTCATTACAGAGATGCTCACCACCTGATTTCCTTAATTGGTAGTTGACTTTCAAGCCTATACAGCTTGGAGTAGGACAACATGTATGAAAAGGATGATGTGGTTTAAATACTTATTTACCTAATAAATCTGCACACATTGTAGTGCCAGATTATTATGAGCCATTGGTAAGTTTAATTCAGCATTTCTGTTATCTGTCTGCCTGCCTGATTGTCTGCCTGCCTGATTCTGATCTGATTCTGCCTACTGATTCTCTGAGCATGCCTGAACCCTATCGGATCTATCTAAGTATGTTTTTGGATCTTTTACCTGATTTCTGAACCCTAACCTCGCTCCCGGATTCTCCCCTGGATTGTCTGGTTTTCAGATCACCTGGCTCTGTCTCTGACCCCACTCTCAGATTTCCTTTGGATGGTCTCTGGATCTCGGATCCCCTGGTTCTGACTCTGGAGCGACTCCTGGATTCAGTAACCTGGTTTGTCCCCTTGATCATTCTGCCTGTCTCTGCTCTCAAGGATCTGATCCTGTGCATTACCCTTGACCAATGAGTAAGTGACAAAGAAGGATTCCTCCAAACAAATCTGGATGTATTCAAGAATCCCCATAGATTCACCAGTGATGTCACATGCCAAATGGCCTATTCAGAAACTCTCAGGGTTTGCCTCAGATTCCAAGAAGGTTAGTGAACAAGAATTCAACATTAGAAACATTGGCCGGTGTTTCTGCCCAGTTCCTTCACTGTCCAATCTCCTTCCAGACGTTTGGGTTGCTGGCTCTGGTGAATCTCTCCTGACCCTTGGCAGTTTCATATTTTAATAAACTGTTCAAACATCAACTGTCATTTCTGGTTGAACTCTGGGTCTTCCATTTCTGGTCATTACAGAATAATCTGGCCAAAGATGGACGGTGGACCCATTGCCAGATCAACAGTAGCATGCAGCGTGGAAAATTCAACCCAGTCTCATGGGAAAATGTACCCCCACTACGTTGGTCCACACTGCAAAACGTAGTGGAGGTACATTAATGGCCGTTTTTTTGGGGTACTGTTACGTTTCTTCTGCCTATACGCTTTCTATTGTTTTACGTCCTAGTCACGTGACTTTCAAGATTCCAGCTGGGAGAAGAAAAAAATATATATAGATGGCCGACATTCGCTCATTTTTTTTGTGGAAAGATTAATAACTTGAGTTTGTTTTTGCATTAAAATGAGTTTTGATTACATTTCTAGTGAGAAATGTATAGTTTGTTGCCAGAATATTTACTCAGGGAATGTACATATTCACTTGCTTGTTCGTTTCTTGCAAAGATTTTTCAAGATAATGTGAAACTAACATTTTGGTATAAACATGGCTGAGATTTCTCTAACTTTTAGTGGGAAAATCAATAATTTCAATCAGTTTCTGCATTTAAATGGGTTTTGATTACATTTATAGCGAGAAGTGTAGGGTTTATTTACATAATATTTACTTAGTGAACATACATAATCACCCGCTTGCTAGTTTTTGCTGCGGGTTTTCGGATCTCGTCAGGATTATGTGAAATTGCAACGTTTTGGCTGCTACCCATCGCCTAGCATTTAGCTGCCGCCCCGATTCAACATTGAATTCTTTGTGATTTAACTCCATCTGACGGATCAAACCCTCGCCACTGCGTGCGTTGCGTCTGAGGTTGATTTTCAGATCAATGCATTACGTCGTGGCAAACGGGAGAAACTAATTAATCTAGTTAAAAAAAGGATCATGGGTTAAGATCGGATGTGTTTTATTTGGAAATCTACCGGATCCTTTGTGCATTTAACTTCCTGTTTGGTGCGATCTCATTGTTGGGTTTTGACCAGATTTTGACCAAAGAGGAACTCAAAAAAAAAAAAAACGCATGTAGACGCATGTAGGAAGAGAATCCACCCCTGAACCCATGCAGCTGAGGAAAAACAAGAATGTCTAAGGAGGAATGAACGCAGACATCAGTTGAATGTATGCCTCTACTGTGATAGTAAGGGGCAGAGTGTCAACCTGTCCAGTAAAAACGTAAGGCTCTGTATAGGAGGGGTGAACTCTACTGAGCTGAACTAAGATGTCCACTTATCCCTCCCTGACTTTCCTGTTTATCTTTCAACAAGGTCTGTTTATCACAAAATCTTTGCTTTTATTGACATCGGAGCAGACACAGAGTTAATGGATGAACTGTTTGCCAAGAGACTGGGCATTCAACTTTTACCTGGAACTTGCTCTCACGAGATTCCTGCTTTTGCTGGATACCCCCTAAACAAACACTTGGTGGTCGTGGAAATTAGCCTTACTATTGGAGGTAATCATAACAAGAAGATATCCTTCATGAATATCCAGTCGTCTCATGTGCCAGATGTCTTGGGAATTACTTGGCTTAAGAAACATAACCCTCAGATTGATTGGCAGAAGCTAGAAATGAATTGGGCTTCCACATGTTCAGAGAACTGTGTATCCCCAGCTTATCCTCATCAGATTCTAAGAAAGTTAAAGAGGAGATTTACCCCAAAATGTCTAAAGTTCCACCCGAGTACCATTATTTGAGAAAGGTGTTCAATAAAGCCATGGCCACCAACTTACCTCTTCATTATCCTTTTGACTGTCTCATGGATTTTCTTCCTGGAATGGCATCTTCTGGAATGGCATCTCCTGGGGGCAGACTGTACTCTCTCTCATTGCCCAAAGCTCAGGCCATGAAGGCCTATATTGAATGTTCACTCAAGGCTGGTATTATTTGGTATTTTTCTTCTCCTACTGGAGCCGGTTTCTTTTTTGTTAAGAAGAAGGACGGACTTCAACGCCCCTACATTGATTACAAGGGACTAAATGATAAAACAACAAAAAAAATGTTTTCCCCTGCTGCTTATTGACTCAGCTTTTGATCAGATCCAAGGAGCAAAGATCTTCACTAAACTTGACCTCCACAATGCAAACCATTTAGTTAGCATTAGAGAAGGAGATAAGTGGGAAACTGTTTTCAGCACATCCAATGGAAACCACCACTACCTTACATGTTATCACATAATCAAGACTAAGTTTCTCTGGAACGTCCAAGCAAAGAAGGGTTTCTGCAAAGTGAAATTGATGTTTTTCTTGGCTCCTGTTCTTCAGTCACTGCATCCAGAGAGATAGTTTATAGAACTTTTGGCTTTTCAATTAGCCCTGAGGAATTGAGAGACTGGCTGGAGGGGGCTAAAGAACAATTTATTCTCTAAAGTGATCACAAGAACCTTGTGTACCTCCAATCTTACAAGCGCATTAATCTTGTCAAGCTAGATGGTCCCTGCTCTTTGGAAGGTTTAACTTCTCCCTGTCTTACAGACCCAGGACTAAGAATGTGAAACCCAATGCTCTCTTCAGGATGTTTGAGACCTTGAAGGAGTACACCAGTGGTGGCAGAGAGTTGATCCTTCTTGATTCGATTAATTTTGGCTGTGACTATGGTTGATCTGGAGAGGGGGGTAAGAGATGCCACTCAAAATCAAGATGTCCCTGAGGCTTGCCCTAAGGATATTCTGTTTGTTCCTTACCACCTGATTGGAAAGATTCTTCATTTCTGTCAGAGCTCTGGGCCGTCATCCTGGAGTCAACAAAACAATCCAAGTCATTCAGTCTCAGTTGGCAGCATGTAATCAATGCAAACTGCTAAGTCCTGAAGGAGACCTCCCGCTGGACATCTTCGCCCACTGCCTGTACCCTCTCAACTTTGGTTCCATATCATGATGGATGTCATCACTGGACTACCTATGGTCCCCAATTTGTTACTAAATATTTGAGGGAGTTATGCTCTTCACAGGGGATTTCTGTCAGCCTGTCCTCTGGATTTTATCCCCAAGCTGATGGCTAGACCAAGAGGGCTAACCAAGACATTGAAACCACATTCTGCACCATTTGTGAGTCGGATCCCACCAAGTGGTCTGCAATCCAGCACCACTGGTCTCTCCCCTTTTTATTTGGTCTTTGGATTTCGGCTACCGGTGTTAACCATCCAGAAAAAGAAGGGCCAAAGTTCTGTCAGCCCATATGACCTCAGTGGGGTGCCAGCAAGTATGGCGGAGAGCCAGAAAGACCATGTTCAAAACAGTTGCAGCCCAGTCAAAAGCTGCAAATCCCTATTGTCTACCGGAAACACAGTACCAAGTGTGTCAAAAGGTCTGGCTCTCTACCCGGGAATACTGGCACCTCACTTCATCAACCCATTCCCTAACTCTATGACGGTGAACCCGATTACCATCTGTCTTCATCTCCCTAGAACCATGGGAATCCAACCAATGTTTCATGTAAAACCTTCAAAGATCTCAAGGATCTCGGATCACCTGGCTCTGACTCTGGCTCTGGCTCCCGTACTCTGGTTTGTCCCTTTGATCATTCTGCCTGTCTCTGCACTATAGTAAGTCTCTGACAGTTAAATTCAAATATTTACAGTTGTGACAGCAAAAAAAGTTTAAGAGGTATGGTTTTGTAAACAAATATCATGATATTGTCCCTTGATCTGTACTCTGACCTCTTCTAACATTAACTTTTCAGAATCTCACATGCATCTAATACCACCACTGTGACAGATTTATAATTTAATTTAGAACAGAGCTGATAAAATGAAAAAAATAATATTTTGGAAATACCAGGCAAACATTAGATTTTTTGTTTTTACTGCTTCTGTTTTTGAATCACGCAATAAAACTTAAAAGATCACAAATGTCTCATTAACTCCATTTGCAAGTGGAAACCTCTGTAATGGATCTCTTGACTGAATCACTAAAGTATATCTTGTGTTTTGCTTCTACCTCTTTCAGTCAAGCACACATATGACACCCCAAAAGAGGTTTCAGAAGTATTTGGAAGTGCCATCAAAAAGATCCTAACCATCAGTCAGTCCCTCAGTAAGTTCCTAAATACTTTTGATACTTCCTAGTAACAACTAACTGTTCATGTAAAACGAGAATACAAGCGTGGAAATAATGCTAATGACTTACTCATTAAAATCTCTTGTTTTACAGATGATATCCAAGAAGGGAGATCAATCAGGATTTCCAAAAATGGGACTCTCAATTGCTATCGACATTTCTGAGAGTACCAACAAAACTCATTTTAATCAGTCAAGAGATGCTGTTATTACTCTGATTAAAAAGGTGAGACACACATAAGTATATAGTGGTGGGTGTGAGGGACTAAACATAAATAAGCACAAAAGGTTGTCAAAAATTGGAAACAAACTTTGATTTAATAATGTCAAAAAATAGTTAACAAAGGCTCAGACAGCAATAGAAAATAACTTCAATATTAAATACCATTAATTTGAGCCAAACTCAACTGAGGTCAACTGAACAGTAACTAACTTAAATAAAAACTGACCTACTAATAAAGAATAGAGGCTGCTTAAATAGGGGTGGAGTAACCTAAAGTTGCCCCATGAGGGAGGCACAATATCACAGAGAAGCAACAAATAAAACTAGAAAATTTCTAAAGAAATTTTGAGGGGGGCCACCTACTGCCCGTCTGGGTAACTGGGCCAATACGGCCCTGGCAAGTGACATTGGGGCTCCCCAGACCAACTGCTTACGCCTTTGAGGGCTGCTGAGGGAAGGAAAGAGGGCTAGGTCATGGGCAAAGAGAGCTGTGTGCCACTTGTGCTGAAATCTGGGAAATAGACGTGCACAGCGTATGATGCACAAGGGTAATATGGTTTGTCCATATTGAACCGCAGTGGGTAAAGCGCAGTTGGCGGGCTCTGCCCGCCTGCTAGGAGCCCTTGCAGCGATGAAAAAAATCACCAATGGCGGGCTCCGCCCGCCTGCTAAGAGCCATTGCAGTGATGAAATCACCATTGGCGGGCTTCGCCCGCCTTCTAAGAGCCATTGCAGTGATGAAATCACCAATGGCGGGCTCCGCCCGCATGCTCAGAGCCATTGCAGTGATGAAATTACAAATGGCTATGAGCAATATGCCAGAATGTATGAGTGTGTATAAGGAAGAGGCTTTTATTCTGTAGAGTCCCTGTAGTGTTATTTTGAAAGTCTATCATGGATGTGCATCAAAAGATGGGTCATGCCCAGCAGTGATATAGAATCCATTTCCAAATGTTAAATCACTGGTTTTCCATGTTATTAGGTGAATAGCTGCTGTATTACAGAGTAAATGGGAGACTTTTATTGTGAAATTTTCTCTGGGGTGTGTTTTGAAAAGGTCACTAGAGTCTAATAAAAACAACCTGGAAGAGTTTGGGTCATAATGTTGAGCCATTTGCATCAATTATTGCATTAGTATAATCTAGAGGCTTTTATTTTGTAGGGTCCCTGGAGTCTTATTTTGAAAGTCCAACAGAGTTGTGTTTAGAGAAAATGTTCAGACCCAGCAATCATAGTTGATGACTTTCCAATCGTTAAATCACTCTTTTTTCCATGTTATTAGGGCAGTAGATGAAGCGGAAATGGGAGGCTTTTATTTTGAAATTTGCCTTAGGGTGTGTTTTAAACAGTCTCCTAGAGTCTATTCTCTAAAATGGGGTTGTGTTTGGGTCATAATGTTGAGCCATATAGGGCAATAAATATATGTAAAAAATATAGAGGCTTTTATTTTGTAGGGTCCCTGGAGTCTTATTTTGAAAGTCTATCAGTGTTGAGTGGCAAGGGAAGTGTCATGGACATCAGTCATATAGTATCCATTTCCCAATGTTAAATCAGTGCTTTCACCCTCCATTAGATTAATATGTGCTGTTTAAAACAGCAGAGGTAAAATCTGTTTGAAGCACGGTAACCTTGACAACGCTTAACGAGCCTGTCAGTGACAGAGAGAAAAGCGCAGCACTATCGTTCCTTAGCTCTCAGGCTTTTTTGAATGGGAGGAACAGCTCCGAACAAACGACTGCTGAGCAAAAACCGTATGAGTTATTCAAAGAATTTCTTCACCGTGAGCATCAGCAATCCTTCGACTCCAACTATGCCAACTTTGGTGTATGTGTGTCATTCAGAAAAATATTTATGACGAGTTGAAAACACATAGTGGTGTTCGTTTTTCTCCCCTCTTCTGCTCCAAAACCAATGAAAAACGGCTCTGATTTTCATCGACTTTAGGTCGGTCTGGAGCGTTTTTAAGGAAAAGTATTAATCCTACCGTAATTCTGAAGACACTGTGTGAGTCCAGAGATTTCAGTCTACAAACTGACCAAAAATGGTGACTGTAGCTCCAAATATGTGGCCGTGAGGCAAGAACAAAATCTTTTATCTTAAAAAAACGGCCTCCTCACAGTAAGATGTCAGCAGCTGCCCTCAGGCAGGCTGATGCAGAAGCTAACTGTTAGCTAGCTTCCAGGTGCTCCCCCTCCAAACAAACGACTGCTGAGCAAAAACCGTAAAAGGTATTAGAAAAATTCTTTCAGTGTAAGAAACATCTATCCTTTGTCTCAGACTGGGGTAACCTTCATGTCTGTAGGTCTTTCACAACCCAAAACGAAGCACAAACAAAATGGCTGATCCCACCTGCTCCTCCCTTTGTTTAAACTGCAGCACCACACTCTGTCACCTTTAAGCTGCTATAGCACCCCTCCAAACAAACGACTGCTGAGTAAAAACCGTAAAAGGTATCTGAAAAATTCTTTTTATCTAAGCGACAGCTATATCTTGTCTTCAATTGGAGTAACTTTCATGGCTATAGGTCATCTACAACCTGAATGGGAAGAGAAAGAATAAGAAAAACGGGTCCTCAGTCCTTAGCTTCTAACTGAGCTAGCTGCAGCAGGTCAGTCACCCAGCTTTCTGGTGCTTAAAATGTCCTCCGAACAAACGACTGCTGAGCAAAAACCGTATGAGTTATTCAGAAAATTTCTTCACCGTGAGCGTCAGCAATCCTTCAACTCCAACTATGCCAACTTTGGTGTATGTGTGTCTTTCAGAACAATATTTATGACGAGTTTAAAACACATACTGTCAATCGTTTTTCTCCCCTCTTCTGCTCCAAAACCAATGAAAAACGGCTCTGATTTTGATCAACTTTAGGTCGGTCTGGAGGGTTTTTAAGGAAAAGTATTAATCCTACCGTAATTCCGAAGACATTGTGCGGGTCCAGAGGTTTCAGTCTACAAACTGACCAAAAATGGTGACCCTAGCTATAAATATGTGGCCGTGAGGGCGAGTTTAAAATGTTTTTGGGTCTTAAAAAAACGGCTGCCTCACACTCTAGCTTTTCAGTCTCTCCACTCTAGAAGGGTGGATTTTGCTAAAACTTTGTGGCGCTTGAGGTCTGATTATACAAAAACCGTAGCAGTTATCAACATGCCGTCTTCAGTTTTATGCAGAGGAAGGATTTATCTACAAACTGAGCTTTAAACTGTTTTTCTAAGTGAATGTATGCCGACACAGTGAAGCGCTGTTTTTTATGCTTTTTTTTACCTCTCCCCATTCATTTCCTATGGGATTTTTTTGCGACGTTTTCGCTAATAATTCGCGAACCTTCGGACTAATGAGAAAGTTTTATACAAGCACGCATCGCACCATTGGTCCCGACGCGTGTGCCAACTCTGGGCCCGATCCGACAAACCGTGCGGGACTAGTTACGCGCCGAAGTTTTAGGGGACGAGGAGAACTATAAGCTATAATAATAATACGCGGAATAAATATGTGCAATAGTAATAGGTGGGCCATGCCTTCGGCATGTGGCCCCCCTAAAAAAAAAAAACATGCAAAACTAACATAGTAAACAAATAAAACAGCTCTTTAACTTAGCACAAATAATAAGTGAATATTAAGATTACAAAATAACTAAGGTCAACTTAAACAAAATCCCCCACCCCTCAGTTCTTTGGGAAAGTGGTTTGTTCCTGGCTTCCACCTCCAGCTGCTCTGAATTAGCAAAACCTCAAAGAAAAGGACAATTATTAACGAACCAGAAAAAAAAATGCCTCTGCACTCAATTGGATAGACCTAAAACAAATAAGAGCAACGGAGTGCGTGACGTATGTTAAGCGACGCATAGTTGTTGTTGATCATCTGTCCCTCATCGTATAAAGCCCGCCCTGACAATTTGATTGGCCCGCCAGATATTGTGCGAGCATACTCGCGCTACTATTGAGCAATGCCAGACTGAACTTCCCGACCTCAAACGTTGTGGGCAGGACTAAGTTTGGAATGGCACCCAGGCTAGAGCAGTACTGCTATCACCATAGTTTTCCGCTTGATTTATGCATATAAATAGCTTTACTATGATTAGGCAGGGAGTATTACAGATTATATGGACATTGCAATATAAGTAGAACAGGAAGGAAAAACATGAAAAAGGAGAAAAGAGTGTTGACAGATGTTTGCAATGAAGTTACTGAGTTCTTAAAGCTCTTTAGAAAGGTAGCAGTTAGTGCTGTTAATCTGGACATCTAATCAATGAATGAAAGGACTACTATACAGTACAATATAAAGAACTACTAGAGGTCAGAGGAGTCTGTTTGTACATATAAAAAAGAGCACTTTGTTTTCGGTAAACCCACTGTGTGTATGGGCTTGTTAGACAGTTAGGTCTCATTATGCATGAAGCTTTTATTCAGTGTCCGTACACTAACAGACTCATTTGCCATACAGTACTCCGTCCAATTTGGCTTCCAAAACTGCTGCCCATTAGAGGTAAATTTAATTATGAATTATGAATCACTGATGTTTCTTGGCTTGAGGCTCTTGGCTCATTGTCAAAGAAATGGCCCTGCTCATACATAGATCATTTTCTTTACACAATAACAACCATAAGGAATGAAAAAAAACAGCCACACTGGTTTAACAAAGCATGTCATGGAAACCATTCAAGCTAACCTGTGCTCATGAAGGTGTATCAGAAATGTATAGAAGAACCAAACTGATTTGTTTCTACAGATCTCCTCCTTCAGTGTGTCACCAAACTACGATATCATCTTCTTCTCGTCTGACATTTACAGGGTGGTCAACATTCTTGATTTTTACAACACAATAAAACTAAATTCAGTTATAGAAAACCTGAAAAACTTTACAGTAGGAAGTAAGTCTAACACAAGTACTATGTCATCTTTTTTACTATAGCAAGACTGTCGTTTCTGGTTTAACATTGTGTTCCTATGTTTTTTTTTTTTTTTTAAGACAAGAACACTGGAACTGATCTGAACCTGGCCTTCAAAACATTTGAGGTTCAAATGGGTTTTATAAAGGAACGAGTTGGAGAAGAGCGATTCAAAGATCATCGGCATGTCCTGATCTTTTTCACAGATGGTAATGAGCTTGTTTCATAATTTATCAGCAGCACTACTGGTATTGAAACCTATGATACCTTAAGGCTGGCATAATAATTTCTGGAAACTTTCTGCCTTACTGAGATCAGCATCCATTTGTTGTGCTTGATCATAAGGAGGCTTCCTCTTTGGTCTTACTCATTTTTATTTCTTTTTTTTTGTCTAGCTGAGAAAAACAAGATGTCATACTTAAAACACTTCTAAAAAGTGGTTATAATTATTGTATACATAGGTTTGAATAGTTGGATGGGTGGTGGTTTTTCGAGGGGGGCAGGGGTACCAAGGTTTTTACTGAACAAAGTTACTGTATGAAAAAGTATGTTTAGTTTTTCACAATTTTCTAGGAATAGCAATAAATTTTATTTTATTATTTTTTTTAATCTGTCTTACAAGTAAAAGCCTATTTCTCCAGGTGGCTACACCATCGGTGGTTCTCCTGAACCTACTGTTGCTAGAATAAAGAACATGGTTTACATGAATCAACACGATTCAGCTAGATCAAGAGACGAATATCTTGGTAAGTTTCCTGCTTAGTATTTTATCTTAAACATTTTGAAATTACCTGGAGCTGTAAGTGCAGCAAGGTAAAAACAATGTAATTCTTTCTACAATTTCACAATAGTCAATGTGTTGTGTTGTTATCGAAAATACCAATGAAGTTTGTTTCAGTTGTAATGCGAAATTTAAAACTTACAAAATTTTTAAGCTTAGGAATACTCTGCAAATCCTCTGCATTTTGAAATGTTAGTGAAACACTAACCTGTTACCACTTTTCAGACATCTATGTCTTTGACATTGGGACTGAGATCTTTAATGAAGACCTGCAACTCCTCACTACAGGAACAGGAGGCAGACATTACTTCATATTGAATGAAATTTCAGAATTACTGGAGACCTTTGATAATTTAATTGGTAAGACCCTTACAAAAAGGAGGAGCAACATAAATCCTGTGTGATGGATGAGTGAGTATGTGCATTCCTGTGGTGTTTTCTCCATAATTCCTCCTTCAGCAGTAATTTAACTCAGGGGAGAACTATGATCATAAATGGGGGTCTGGTTCCTTCTCTAGTTTCCAAAAGTAGCAGAGACAAGCTGCTGCTCCTGATGCGGAGGAATATAATGAAGCATCCTGGTGGACCGGTATTGAGTGCTTAAATTAATTGAGTGAATATATTCATTGGCCATAAAGACTGAATGACTGAAGAGAATGAATGTAATATTATGTATGTTTGCACTACTTTAATTTGTCTTTAGAAATATATTAATGAATACATTTTGCTTGTACATACAAATGTACTCTCAAGTTTTTAACTCCTTTTACAGTTTCTGAACACTGACATTAAAGTCAAAGACGATTATTTGTACACAAACATAATGAATAATGTGGAATTGGATTCTGATTCTACGGTTGAAATTCAGTAAAGAGAAGCAACCACCAATATCGGAGGCTATCACTATATTTTGTATTTATCCAGTATGAATTTGCGTTTTGGTTTGCTCCTTTTTAATGCAGATGAAAGTGAAGTCGTCGGACTGTGTGGTCTTCATAGAGATTATGAACATAATCTGAACATAATCTATGTTTGACCTAATCACTGCATAATAAATTCTCTTCAAAGACTGACAGCTTGCTCCCCAATCAGCTCCTGACAAGCATCTTAACACATTTATTCCTTTTTTGCATTTTTCTATTAATTTCTGAATATGAACTCCAAAACTTAATTTATAGTCCATCCACACACCTAAATATCTCACTACTTTCACTTGTTCCAGCAGGTAACCATACATTTTGATATTTAAAGTAGGATTTTGTTTTTTATTTGAAAAGCATATTGCATACATCCTCCGCTGTAGAGAGCATGCGTGAGACGAACCAGGGTTTCCGCGGATCAATAAAAATAATTAAAAATTCATTCATTTTTTTTTTAAATCAAGGCCTTAATTGGCACTAAAATTATTTAAATATGTTTATCAAAGTATTTATAATTCTTTAATAAAAAATGCTTATAAAAACAATTACGTCAGATATATTATATCGCTGCTGGCGGAGAAAAAGCTAGAGGATATATATATACCCATATATGTGTGTGTGTGTTTACATACATACAGGAGTCATGGAACTCTGCTTACAGCTCCTTCATATTTCATGTACACTAATAACTTGTGTACATGGTTCTTGTTGATGGCATTACAATAATTTCTAATAGCATTAAATTAGAGTCACTCATTCCTGTATGAACCCTGTGAGCGCTTAATTTAATATGGCATATTAAAAAAATCCCACCATCATCCAGCATATGTTCAGTTTCTGCCCAAATATATATATATATTTTTGTAACGGGGATAAGGATAATTCAAAACTGCTTTTTTTGAATGAACTTGTTTTCTACTCCCAAACTCAGCATCTCTTTTCATTCCTGTAATAAGAAGTTTCTTTTGAATGGATTTGATTAAAGTTTAAGTCCCTCGGTATGAAATAAATATTTTGATGGAGATGAGAAATCTGCTTCCTCGTTGGTGAATAACCAATAGTTTGATCCAATCATTTAAATAAACGGTGTTAGATTTTTTTTTTTACATAAGAATTGTGCTATAATTTCTAGTCACCGATCTGTTGCTGCTATATTTTAATTTGACAAACCGGAATTTGTCGATGTTCTTTTTCCTGTTTGGTGCGATTGCAATTGCGGATCTTGACCTGGCCGGACCTTATGACCACAGTGTACCAATCTTCTGATGGCTACTTCCAACAGGATAATGCGCCATGTTATAAAGTGAATCATCTCAGACTAATTTCTTGAAACTTTTCCACTTAAGTAATTGTGAATTGAGCATATTGACAGACAACATTTTATTTTTTATCTTAAATGCAATATTTTTTTTAAATAATTACTGCTCCAAATGTATTGCTCTGTCAGCTAAAGATCTGTTTTGGTCTCTATACTTTAATTAAATAAATCAATTCAAGCTAAAATGTAAGAGTCTATACTGAGCCTTATCTCTTTGTATCAGAGATTTTCTTACCTTTTAGAAAAATGGAGTAAACCCCCCCCTGCAACCCTGATTTGCATTTGTATAGCTCACAGCATGTTCATTTACATGGTAAAGCCTCCCCTAGAATTCCATGGGGGGGAGGCATGGGGGGAACACTGCCTAAGAAAGTCCACGTCAATTTCTGACAATTTACGGGAGTTTTCGGCGAAGCCTGCAAATTGCCGTAAACTGCCGCTAACCTGAAGTTCAACGACAATCTACAGTGCCGCATATTGACGAAAATCTCACTTTTCATGCAGTGGAAGGCACAACAAAAGACGGTCCACGGCGACAGAAATGGAGGGAGAGATATTGGTGGATGTTATGATGAGCGAACAACGTGACGAAAAAGTTAAAGTGCAGCAAAGTGAGCATGGCGGCTAGCGCACCCACTGCTACATTCAACATCTAGCCACCGGAGCCTTTCGATTTCAGCAAACCACTCGAATGGACAAAAGCAATCCAGAGGTTCGAGAGGTTTTGGCAAGCGAGCAATTTGACCATGAACTCCAAGGAGAATCAGGTTAACATTCTGATACATTGTATGGGGGATGAAGCCGATAATGTATTGAGAGGGTTGAAGCTGAGTGATGCTGACGAGAAAAAGTATGACAATGTAAAAGACAGATTCAGGGATTTCTTTGAGGTGAAAAAGAACATAGTGTTTGAACGTGCATGCTTCAATATGAGAAAACAAGAACCAAAAGAGAATGTATAGGTATTCGTTACTGCCCTGCATGCTTTAGCAGAACACTGTAAATACAGGGATTTGCATGACGAACTCATAAGTGATAGGATCGTAGTGGGGCTTGCAGACACCAGGCTTTCCAAATGCTTGCAGATGGAGGAAATTTGACTTTGCAAAAAGCTATTGATATGACAAGACAGTCAGAAGAAGTTCAAAAGCAACAGAGCACACTTAGGAGTGACGCTAGCAGTGTGATGCAGATGGAGGGTAGCAACATAGACAGACTGATAAAAAAGGGACAGAAATGTAACAACCTAAGAAGCAGCCATGGACGTTCCTGCCAACACATGCAATGCAGAAATAACAGCACAGCACCCAGTGCTACAAGTGTGGGGGGCCTTCTCATCCTAGAGTGAAGTGTCCTGCCAATGATGCAAAATGTTGGGGCTGCAGAAAAAAAGGCCATTACCAGCGCATCTTTAAAAACAAGGCTGTAGTAGCGTGCATTGAGGGAGAAGAAGGGAAAAGTTTCTTCCTGGGCTCTGTGTCATGCGAAAACATCATGTGGGCGGCTAATGTGCAGGTTAAAGGAAAGTGCTGAAATTCAAACTTGACACCGGTGCGCTGGCATCGTCATCGTCCCAAAGAAGAACAGCCAGTGACTACACATGTGTGTTGACTTCCCGGGCTTGAACCAGTATATGTGTCGTGAGAAATATGTCCTGCCATCAGTCTACCAAAGACTAGGAATGCTAGCTGGAGCCAGAGTTTTCAGTAAACTAGACGCGAACACGGGATCCTGGCAGATTGCTTTAGCTTAAGAGTCAGCCAAATATACAAAATTCATAACACCCTTCGGACAGTACCACTTCCAGCGTATCATGGCAGAGGTCATAGACAAACCAGACAGGGTGGTTTGCCACATTGATGAACTGCTGGTGTGGGAAAAAGATCAAGAACAGCACACGCCTACGCCCTGCTGAAAAAGCTCAAGCAAGCAGGGGTTACTTTGAAAGCTGACAAGTGCCAGCTCTCCAGGAGTGAGGTGGTCTTCCTCGGGCATGTCATCACCACATCAGGCATCACACCCTATTCTGAAAAGACAAATGCCATCAGGGACATGAAAGAGCCTACAAACATGAGCTTCCTGGGGATGGTAAACCCGGTGGGAAAGTTTATACCCCAGCTGGCAGAGAAAGACAAAGCACTCCGTGACCTTCTCTCAAAGAAGAATTGCTGGCTGTGGGGTGCTGACCAGGCGGCGGCTTTCAGGGTGTTGAAAGAAGCACTTACCTCTCCATCGGTCCAGGCAATGTATGAGACAAGCAGGGACACCAAAGTATCGACACTTCATCCTATGGACTGGGGGGCGTTCTCCTCCAGAAATGGGACAGCGAATGGTGGCCCGTAGCTTATGCATCTTGCTGACTTTCGAAAAGGAGGTCCTGGGTTTAACCTGAGGATGTGAGTGCTTCCGGGATTTCCTGCAAGGAAAGCAGCCTAGAGACTGACCACAAGCCGCTCCTTTCCTTACTACTATCTTACTCCTACTGTATGACATCATGCACGTTCCTGGAAAGTCACTCTGGACTCCTGACACGTTGTCACGTTCACCTGTACAGAAACAAATTACCGCAAATGACACGGAGCTGATGAAGAGCACCAACATTTACTTGGACTGCATTGTCAACAACTTACCTGTCAGTCACACGTTCATGGAGACACTGAAAACAAAGCTGGAGGCTGACAGGGTATGCTCATGTGTCATGAAAATGTGTGCAGATGGATGGCACACATAGGATTTAAATGACAGGTCCTGATTAAAATTAAACCACCAAGATTTTTTACTTTATTATCTGAGATCAGTTTAATCCCATCCAAATGAAGTGACTGACTAATCAGCTTCTTTTTCAAAGACTCTGGTCAAAATACTTTAACTTCTGTTTTGTCTGCATTCAGAAAGTTAAGAGTCATCCAGGTTTTTATGTCTTCAAGATATGCCTGTAATCTATGTAATGGGTTAGCTTCATCTGAATTTATAGAAAGATATAGCTGTGTATCATCAGTATAACAGTGGAAATTGTTCAATTTTGTGTTCTGAATTAACAGAGGAGGTCCTGTTAAAGAATCATCTTGAGCGACTCAGTTTCCTAACAAGGAAGGCGCCTTTGGTTGCAGAAAACAATGTATTTGCCAAACTTGGAGAGAACGTGAGTTTGGTCAATTAGGCTTCTTTGTTTTCCAAATTAATATATTTCTAAAGCTATCTATCTTCAAATACTCTTTGCAGAGAGATATGTGCATCAAGAAGGCACTGCTGGCACCAGGCATCACCACAAAAGATGAAAAAGTTGTTGTGACTGATAACTTCTTGTGCACTGGTGGTGGGGTTGACCCTAGAGATCATATAGCATGTCCAGTTGTGTACATCTTGTCACCTTTCAACATGATCAAAAATAGCGCTGCAGTTTTTTAACTGTGAGAAATTGTCGGGACAGGTGATTCTGGCGGTGCTGTGTTCAAGAACTATGAGCAGCGGACCGTCCAGGTAAGCAGGTGTATGCAGCAAACGTTTCAAAATTGGTTATTAATTCAAAAGGCATCATATTGGCAACAAGCTCACTAAAAATAAAAATGTATATCATTGATTCTCTTTTTATTCACAGATTGGAGTCGTAAGCTGGGGAACTCATCATCTGTGTCCCTACAGAGATGGCCTGGTTGAGTCCACTGATGATTCCAGAGATTTTCACATCAATCTATTTAGAGTGATCCCTTTCCTTAAGGAAAATCTTGGAGATGACAATCAAGACTACACACCGCTGAAATTTGTGAAAAATTAAAGTTTCATTACATAACTTTTGCT